GAGTGAGTGAGTGAGTGAGTGAGTATATATGTGTGTGTGTGGAGTATATGAGTATATGTGTGTGTGTGTGTGTGTGTGAGTGAGTGTGTGAGTGAGTGAGTGTGTGAGTGAGTGAGTGAGTGAGTGAGTGAGTGAGTATATATGTGTGTGTGAGTGTGAGTGTGAGTGTGTGTGTGAGTGTGTGAGTGAGTATATATGTGTGTGTGTGTGAGTGACGAGTATATATGTGTGTGTGTGAGAGAGAGAGTGTGTGTGTCTGTGTGTGTGTGTGTGTGTCTGTGTGTGAGCGACGGTCTCTTGCTGCTTTTTCTCATTATTTCTCATTAGTGGTTTTACTGGCCATGTCTGTTTGTTTGTTACAGCATTTAATATGCAAATATATTTTCACTTTTACAGTGTTAATTGAGTGTTTGATTTTTCACTAATATATGTGAAGAAACAAACCTACTAAACACTGAGGAACACCTTGTGATGAGTGTGTGTGTGTGTGTGTGTGTGTGTGTGTGTGCCACAACTGGCATGAGATCTGGATCCATATCATTTATTTTTATAGACTGCTTATTTATAATCTAAACATCTGCTGCTGCTGCTGCTGCTGCTGCTATTATCAGCTGCAACACACACACACACACACACACGCACATGCACGAGTCATGAGTGTCCTCCGGCATGAGTTATTCCGTGACATTCACAAGGCGCTCCATCTGTCTGACCATGTTTGTGTGTGTAGTTACGTCTTCACCTGCTCGTAGCTTGTACTTCATTGTATTTATTTATTAGTTTGTTTCTTTTGTTTCTTTTGTTTGCCCGACCATGAATGTTTGTAGAGATGAAATCCATGCCTTTACTCAGATTGTGTTTTTTCAGCCTTATCATGAATATTCACAGAGATGTCTGTGTAATAACTCAAATTATGTGGATTTATTTTAAATTAGTTGAATCTATTTTTCTGTTATTTTTATTTATTTTATTTTATACTCTATTTTATTTTTAGCCGTGTCCTGAATATTTACAGAAATGAGATCCAGTGTTGTGTTCATGTATTTACTGTTTAATGTCAGTCTGCTTTGACCTTGATGCTCTGTTTGGGGACTGAGAACCGTTTAAAGGCATAAACCATAAGTAATATTGATGTGCCTGGTTGAAAATTGTGTTACTTATTAATAAACAAACTTGTGTTCTGATATGAGCAGTGCATGTTTTCAGGTGATTGTAAGAGCTGATGGATGAACACGAGCACTAAACCCGTCTCTCTCTCTCTCTCTCTCTCTCTGTCTGTCTGTAGGAGACTCGTCTCTCGTGGGTGAGTACAGCATGTTTCTTCTCTTCTGCTGATCTTTATATCTAATGAAGAACTGATTTGTTAAATCAAATGAAAAAGTGTGTGTTTGATTGGTCCAGATGCTACAGATGTCATGAACCACTGACGGTTGTGAGCGTGACATTCATGTCAAACCACATTATTTTTCTCTCTTTCTGTTGGTGATGCTGTAACAGCACAACAACACACAAAAACACTGCAGAAAAACTGACACAGAATATTAGCTTGGCTAACAGTCAGCTTGATGTATTGATTGTATGCGGTTTTTAGTTGATATTAATTAAAAAATTACTTTTTAGAGGTTTTGCTTTAATAATCTTCTGCCTCTGTTGTTCACAGTAAAGTATCCAATTATCTAATCAAGATTTGAGTCATAAACACACACTCAGAAAAAAAATAAAAGGGGGAAAAAAGAAACACATACAGTATACATGTCCATATTATACATATATGCTTAAAAAAAGACAAAGTAAATGAACACAGAGAGCCGTGATGAGTGGAGAAGAGAGTTTGGCAGGAGGACACATACTGCGCTGCAGGTGGATACACTTTTCCTTCTCTCCCAAAATATACCACAGTTTCTCTAAGTTGCTCACTTGCTGGAATTCAGGGAAAACTTGAGCTGTTTGGGTGAAATAGGTGTCTCTTATGCTTTTATTTTGTGTCTCTCCTTCTCTCTGTCTCTCAAATCCGAATAGCGTATTGCCGAAGCATTTATATGAGCAAGATAAACATGGTCGCAGTGCTGTCAATTCTACATGGGTCAACTTTTCCCTCTGTTTGTGGCAGGCATTAATGTACCCTGCCGCTAGAGAAATGCAGTCTCTTTTTTTCACTTTTTTTCAGCATATATTGAGCTTGTGCATCGTTCTCCAGGTTTTCGAAGTTGTGACAAATCATTTCAAATTTGGGAAAGCGCTGTGTTTGAATGTGACTACAGTTGGAGCAGGTGGTTATGAAGTGTAGCTCTGTTTGGTTACAGTACAGGCATAAGCTGCTCTGTCTGGATCTGCCTCTCTCCAGAGCCAGGCTGTGCTCTCTGAGTCTGTACCCCGTCATGTTTTTCTCAGTTTGTGGTCTCTGACTGTGCTCACATATTCTGCTGTTGTGTAATCTCTCTTTAGGACCAAATAGCATTGCAGTTTACTTGGATTTTGTGTTGTTTCATTCCAATAAGCTAGGTTGTTTTCTTTTTGTGCATGAATGGTTTGGTTGGCCAGATTCTGTGGATGAGTGCGTCAGTGAACTGAGGCTGGTTATTATTAGTCGTGTTAGTCTGATCAGTCTGTTTGTGGAGCTCAGGGCCAGCTTAATGAGGGGGCTCTTTTCAGCATTCAGTTCAAGATTCAAGGGGTCGTGAACTGAGAAACCAAAATTTTCTTGATCAATTGATATATAAGAGGTCATTGTACTATAAAAACATCCTGTAAGTTACAGAACTCAAAACGTTGTCATTAGTCTAAAAACAGCTTATATTGAAGCCAATCTGCCAAAACAACGTTTTGACTCTCAGTCAAACTTGTTGGTTGTTCCTCAAACACATCTAAGATCTATGGGTGATAAAGCTTTCTGTTTCTTCTAACTTAGGGAAGTCCAGAATTATGATGTTTTTAAAGTTCAACTTAAGACATTTTTTTTTTTAACTTTCATTTACTAACTGTTTAGCCCCGCCCACAGATTCTACATCACTAACTGTTTAGCCCCCGCCCACTGATTCTACAGCACTTCCTGTTTAGCCCCGCCCACAGATTCTACAGCACTTCCTGTTTAGCCCCCGCCCACTGATTCTGCAGCACTTCCTGTTTAGCCCCGCCCACCAATTCTACATCACTAACTGTTTAGCCCC